AGCTGCCTCAAAATATGCAGTGCCACCTACAGATTTCAAAATAAAGCTAGAAATATGAAGACAAAACAAACAATGCTAAAAGACTAAAATATAAAATTGAAATTACTTGTTCTTTTTCCTTTGCCTTTCAAGTTTTAAACTTATGGATCTAAAAAATATTTTAACTGAAAGGGTTTGATCTTTTACCATTACTCAAGCCATACTCTCATCTCAGTGACATTTTAGTGATCAAGTACCTATACACAAAATGGTTTAACTAGCTATTAATTATTTTTTTTTTAAATCTTAAGGTGGTGAAATATAAAATGTATTATTTAACATTGATTTTCTGTATGCAATTTTGATTCTTATTTGTTAAAAGGAAACACTGGACATCAAAACACTTCATTCCTCTATGTTGTGATTTCCATTAAAGATTTGTACATGTATTATACATATGAACTTTATACAAGTAATCTCCATTCAGTACCAGTAGAGCCTTCAGGATAGCTTTCCCTCATGAAGCAGCAACGCACACACACACACTCACTTCACCCTGCATGCAAGCTATGTAGAAAACTTATGCAGCTTTTTAAATATGAGCTAAGAGACAGCAATGTTTAATGCTGGTCACACTTTTGCTTTCCTAAAGGTCACTGCATAGAGCCTATTGCAATAGACAGACGCCACTGGAAACACACAGAACTGCTCTAATTCAGTGATGTTTACAGATGCTCTTCACATGTAAACAGGCTGCTGATTATCACAAACCTTACTCTCATTATAGGACTTCTGAAATCATTGAAACCACATTGTCAATGCTATGAAAAAAGAAATCATGCTATGAAGAGCCAAACAGAAGCAGATACAAGGAAAAAGACTTGTTTTGTACGTATTACCTCTTAAGGATTGTTTCTACAGTACAACCATTGCACATTTTTCTTGCTGGTTCGTAAATTTTAATAGTACATAATAAGTTTTTTTCTTATTCACTTGCTAGATTTCCTAATATTATCCCTAATATTATCTACCGCAGCTAAAAAGGAGTGTGGAAAAATGCTACAGATCTTAAGGCTGTATTTATTTCCTTTATGAATACTATGATTAACCATCATAAAGATGTGTAGAGACCCACCCTCAAGTCCTATTCAAGCAAGAATTCCTGTGACACTGGACAGTTGCAATTACAGAGGACGCACTGAGTGAAGATCGCAGAAATACGCTTTGTACAAAAGTATCATTTAAAAACCATGCCAGTACATAATGAAGTTGTTATAGAAATAGTTGAAATACAAAGTTAATGCAGAGTCCCCTCCACTCTTAGTGATTTGCACAGTTCCATTCAAACATGATGCAAATGAAAAAAACACTAATGTAAACCCCTTACAGCTCGGCACAGGATGACATATTGAGAAGACAGCGTTGTCCTTACCATGGCTTAGAATTTTACTACTTTTGGCTCAATGACTAAAAATCTTCAAATTATTAGATCCTTTTATAAAATTATAATTTAAAACAAAAGAAAGAAAAACTGCTTCCCAGGTAGCATAAGTTAGGATGACTACTAAATCACGACTTTTTGAAAACACACAGACACATCTATACCAGACTAATTTTCAATATCTAAGCATCTGAAAGCCTTTAGTTGCAATAACATCCCAGTGTGTCTTGCACTCTAGGAAATACTGCTGATGGGTTGCAAAGGGAACACACACAGCCACGTTTTCCTTTAATGTCACTGGGATTAAAATAAAAGCCACATTGCCTATAAATTACAGAAGCCTACAATCTTAACTGTAATCACATCAAAAAGTCTGCATGCACTTGAGTTGCTATGGACATTTAGTTAGAACTGTTCCAAGTCAAAATACCTACCTCCCTGCCCCACCCGGAAACTAGGCAAAGCTGCTATCCCCTTTAGAACATAATTACATAATAAGCCTTTGTTTTTGGTACTGTGCACAATGATGCAGTTCTCAGGCTTTAGTCCTTAAATTGGACATTTTTCCTCTACATTTAAGATTTCTTCCTCTGCTCCTGATCAGTAGTATCGACCTGATTTCCATAATGGAGTCGGGACCACTACTTTGTTCTCTGTAGGAATAACTTCTATGACTTTGTTTAAAAAAAAAAAAAAGTGCATCTATTGATAAGGACCTTATAAAACTTGCTTGGTTTCTCAGAAGTTGACTTTTTATGCTTCTCAAGCTGCCGACCACAGCAATACCTAAAACAGCATAATCTGGTAGAGACATGGAAATAACCAAGTTTTTCTAGTTCTGAACTTGATGATGACAAAATGGAATGTCCCAGATGCAATGTCAGTCCTAAAAGAAGCTTTATAAGCAATTAATATAATAATTAACAATTGAGAAATAAAGATTAAAGGATGGGAATAAAAATATCATTCAAGATTAAGAGTTAAGATATCACTCTGTTTCCTGAGATAAAATTCACTACCAGTCTCTTGTTCCTTCATTCACTCCCATGTGTTCCATAGTGAGAGCCTTAAAGGGTAATGAAATGACTTTACTGGACTTTTCTGTGCCTCCTGAATACACATACAGGATATAAAAAGCCAACTCTTGAAATAGACATTCAATCTTTTTACAGCAATTACTGTGATTTGTAAAACAGATATTCATACATGCATATATTTAGATGTGTATTCAACCCTCCTGACAATATAGAGATTTTAAAGAACAACTTTACTATAACAATGATACCTGATGGCATACATATAGGATTTCCTTGAAACACAGGATGACAATAGTGACCACCCAGAAGTAGCTTTATTTATAAATGAGGAAAATGCATTTTTAAATGCTCCCTATAACATTTCTATATGGCAATAGATTTTTACATTGTCTATATTCATGGTTACTGTAAATTAAAATCATTTAGGACACAATTAAATTCCAAGTACAGTTAATGGAAATCTTTCAGAGACCTCAGTATGCTTTGCATTCAATCCTACATTAGGGTCAGATCACTTCTAGTCACTCCATTTGACCCTGATACTCATCCGACAGGGATTAAAGAGATGAAACTGATATTAAAATTTGATACTGTAAATCAGAGCAAATACTTTGGTCTTATATCCTCACTGACTTCAAAATCTTACAGTAGGATAAAGTTGATACATACTATCATATTTATTTCAGAAGATACTGACAAAATAACTTTAAAATATTTTATAGTCTATTTAATTTAGTACTTCTCTGCAAATATACTCTCAGTTTGAGCATAGTGTTAACCATGGTCAAAATCAGAAAACCTCTCCTTCAGGAGGACAAGAAAGGCACTTGGACAAAACCAAAGTACTATGGAGAGAAGAAAGTCTTGGCCTTCTTTTCCATGTGCTGTAATACAGTCACACTGACACCAGTGAGATGATTTTTAACAGCAAAATAAACAATATGTGATATCCTACTTGTACATTTTATACTTAAGATGCAAGCACATCAACCACAAGTGTACACAAGAGTCCAGTGAAACAGCACCACTTTACAGATGTTCATAGTATCATCAAGTTCCTAAACCTAGAGAAGCCTTCTACCCAACTTCCATTTTTTCTTTCTTCTTCTACATACATCTCATCTCTACTCATTTTCGTAGTAACTTCTACATTCATTGCCAATGTCTTTAAACAAAACATAAACCAGTATTTTATTCTCAACACAGCAGTTTGCAAGAGCAGCAGAAAATGATAGATGAATACCCAAAGGAAAGACAACATAAAAAATATGTGCTGAATCATCATTATATATTGTGCGAAGTTTGGAAACTGCAGAAACACAAAATAATTTTAAATTCAGTACTTATTACATTTCCCTAAAAAGCTCCCAACTTACTAATATGCAGAAATAGAAGCTGCACATGTAGTTTGCAACTAGTTTATAATCCAGCCAGTCCTAGATCCACTACAAAACAAGAGGACTTACATGCAAAGTGTAAAATGAATAAAACTCACTTGTATTAGTATATCGATCATGCAGAATAAGCACATGTGTAAAAGAAGAATACATTTTCATATGTGTTAATTGAAGTTGTGGAATGCCACCACAGCTCAAAACCATAAAATTAATGAAAGCTGACTGCATGTAAATATAAGCCATCAGACAAAAAACCCCTTATGTTAAACTACCATGATAAGAAGATCAAGGTCAGCAACCCTGTCTGTTCCAGAAAGCAGTTTGCCAACAGTTCTGTAAGGCACTACAATATATCAGCATTAGAAGCATTTATTTAAATTCCCCACAGAATAAAATCTTGTGGTTCATAGCACTTTCAGTTGTTTCTTGTAGTCAACGTGAAAATAGGCTTTTCAAACACAGAGAAAACATGAATGTGCAATTATTATTTTTTTTTTCTATTTCATTTTACCATAATAACTCATGCTCTGTGTGCACCATGCTGATAGGAAAGTAAAACGCAATATTCATACCCCTACCTACTTGACATTAATATGCAAAAATTATCTTCCACAACCACCAGATCTACATTGTCTTTTTCAGAAAAGATCAGCACTAAAGAAAAAAAGAGCTGATGACCTGTATTTTCATATTTCCCATGGTGATTATATTAATTATTTAATCACTGAACTATGAACTCCAGAAGAAAAACAGATTTGTGAAATTTATTATTAACAATGCACAACAATTAATATATAGCACAAAATAAGAAATGAGTAAGACTGTCAAAATGCTGTCAAAATATTTGCCCCTGATTTCTTTAACTGAAAAAACGTAAATATGTGTTGGAGTCTACCATGACTGACAGCAGTTTTAAAGTAGACAAACATAAAAGGCTACTAGAAAATTAAGGCAATTAAACCATGTGTAATACACCCATCGGTCAAATCCTACGAGATTTACCAGACTACAAATACGCTTTAATTCTCTTCCATTGCTTTATTGGTAGAATTATAGCACTGAACACATAGCTATGAAAGTAGACTTTAAGTAAAAAGAAGTAAGAAATCAAAGAGTTTGAGCGATCATAAGCTCATTATTTGATACCTTGCTCTATACTGCCACTTCTTACTGGAACTTGCGGTAGCTGTCTTCCCCTGCGACTGCTGAAGGATGTGTCTGCAGGAGGAGACTGTGTGGGACTTCCTTGTTGGTGTACCCTGCAAATGAAATTAAGACAAAACTAAAATAAGCCAAACAAAGAGAATTTTCATATTCTGAACTTTTAAAAGACATTAAATTGCATATATTGAAGATGGCTTTGAAGAAATTTTCATTTGGTGTATTCCATATGCACATGCTCAGGTCTGGATATCTAGCAAACTTCCAAGGCCTCATGTTTAATTTCTCTAACTATCAACTAAGGAGAAATATTTCCTTTAGTTTTGTTGTTTGCTTTTTTCCTAATAAAGTACCAGCACCAAACCACTGAAGAAAAAGCAATTTGAACAAAAAGAACCAGTTATGATTATGACTTACAATTTATCTATATTGTCCTGCACTGGTACCAGGGCAATACTAAATTTCTCCTCTGTAATTTATTAACTTTTGTATTCCCTTTGTGCTCATGCAATAATTGCAGCAAGTTATCTGTTTCCATGAGATACTGTGTTGTTTTTCCTTGAACTCAAACTCAAAGAAGGAAGACCTTTAACTTTGGCATTGCACAAGGGGTGCTTGTGTGTGTGCGCCAAAGAACGAACAAGATTTTTAATGTTCTTACCTCAGAAAATGTCCTGAGCCTCTTTAGCAGAATTCTTTCTAGCACTATTTCAGAACATGCTGGCTACTTGATTTCTTATTTATGGATACAGTATCTGAGTGTAATAGATCAAACACCTTTGTAAAACTGGTAAGTTTGCATTTAAAATAAGTAGGACCACCTCTAATAACTAGGGAAAAAGTTTAAGGAAGTGAAACAAAAATGAGAAGAAGCAGAGTGCTGAGAAGAAGAGCTTCCTATAAAATGCCCTTGCTAGTTACAGTACTATCACACTCACTATAGTGGATAAGGACTGTTTATCTACTCACTACACTAACGTTGCAAGTGGATAATTTGCAACTTAAAGAAACACTTGAGCAAATGCTGCTGGTTTTCACATTAGGTAGACCAATAGACTTTCTCTAAGGCTGTAAGATCAGAGTTAGCTGTGTGAACAGCACGTGATTTCCTGCATGGTGTTTAAGCAAAACACTTCAATATTTTTTGTATGGATACAGAACAGAACAAAACACAACAATGGAAGGACAAGACACAGCCAATTTTTTGCATAACTATTCAAGTTCAACAGCAAGTAGTACCATCTGAATGGTGAAGATAGGAGATGTAAAGGATATGGGAGAAGTGTAAATATTGTGAAGAGAGGATAATCTACAGTGCTAGAATGAGTGAAGGTGCCATGTATGCTTAGGAAAGTACAACACCACACTGACACCTGGGAGGCAGAACATGAAAGCTGTGCTGTACACGTAATAGCAACCTTGTCAGAAGTGGAGAAGGTGGTGCCGACCCTCCGGGCGCTAGGAGATGTACAGAGCATAAGGGTCTGATACTAGAGTGCTCACTCGACCTTGAGCGAGCCTGATGCTTTCCCCTAATGACTGGCTGCTCAGTCGTTCGTGGGGTTGGAAGTCCCCTTCTAGAAAGACATGGTAGCAGACCCCTAAAACATCAGGGCCAAAAAGAAACTGTTCAGTTGTTAGCTCCAGGCACACCTTCACATGCCCCCCCTCCACCAAAGAATATTGTAAATCCTGGCTGCAGGACCAGGGTTGACATTTCAGATCCAAGTTATTAATTCTGAATGTAAATCCACTTTAAAAAAGAGGAATTGCAGGACACTCACCGCTGCAGATACACACGACCCTAATTGTGGAACTGCTGA